CCAAGTTTCATGTTACTATCGTTGTGGATGAATTATATGCATGTGTACAAGTGACAACAGCGTGTGAACCAAGTTTCATGTTACTATCGTTGTGGATGAATTATATGCATGTGTACAAGTGACAACAGCGTGTGAACCAAGTTTCATGTTACTATTGTTGTGGATGAATTAAATGCATGTGTACAAGTGTAACAACAGTGTGTGAACCAAGTTTCATGTGTACAAGTGTGACAACAGTGTGTGAACCAAGTTTCATGTGTACAAGTGTGACAACAGTGTATGAATCCTGTTTCATGTTATTAGTGTCTGGATGTTAATTAGATTCACTTTTGAAAGATTTTAACATATTTTAAAAAACAATTGAAAGATTGTTTATGGAAACTAAGCCTGAGAAACACTGAACATCTCGTTAGCACTACACAGGTATAAGTGAATGTCGTTTTATCTCGTGTTTCCTACAGGGAGCTGGAACGAGAAAGGGATCTGGAAAATGCAAGTGTGATGAAGGTTACGAGGGTGAGCAGTGTGATACGTGTTATGTTGGTTATTATCCTGAAACCAAGAGCGAGGGCAAGATGGAGTGTCTAAAATGTGACAGGTCATGCAGAGGTCATTGTCGAGAAGGTGGTCCTAGAGGCTGTGAGGTGTGTCAAGATGGTTATCAGCATATTGTGGACATGGGATGTGTTGGTAAGATGCTTCTTGGGATTTAAATTATTTAATTATCTAACATTTCAAGATGCATGTAAACCTGTTTATAATATTTGTCATTTTGTTTGTCACAAGAATTCTTTGGTACTCTTTCTTGCTCTGAAAATACATAACATATTGGGAATAAAACTATAATCGTGGAAATTCAACATTATTGTACATACTGAAAATAAGCTTGTAGTTTTAGTGTTGCTTGAAGCAGGGTTGTGTAATACTTTCACTACAGATAATCTAGGACTCCCACCTAAATAAAGTTGAAGGTCTGGAACCCCAGTGAAGGATAACTAAGGGTCCAGAACCCCCACGTAAACAAAACTAAAAGTCTGGAACCCCAGCTAAAGAAAATTAAGAGTCCAGGACTTTCACCTGAATAATACTGGTTTGAGACTCACAGCTAAATAAAACAGAGGGACTGGGACACCCTCAACTAAATATAACTGGGGGACTGTCTCCCCCAAACTAAATAAAAATTGAGGGACTGCCCCCAAAACTAAATAAAATTGAGGGACTGCCCCCCAAAACTAAATAAAACTGGGGGACTGCCCCCAAACTAAATAAAACTGTACCAAAATAGAACAGTTTTAAATTTCTTCTTCCATAACAGTGGATCTAGTAGTTTGATACATCTATTTATATGTCCAGCACTAAAACACGCTACACAAGCAAAAAATCCCATCCAGTTATTACTAATTGGATTCAGGGTTAGGTTACCATCCAAAAAATTCAGATAATAGAAGCAGGAAAGCCCTTACATGCCATTATATAAATGTGGGAACCCCCAACTATGATTCTGCTGGCTTGAGAAAGGATAATGATTGTGTGTGTGTGTGTTAAGGTTATTTAATCCATTGTCTTTGAGAAATAGAAGTGATACATGTGTGTCAAGTTTTTCTAGCAACAATGTGAAATCCGTGATCAGGCACACTAATCAATAGGATCATCCCTGGCTATTGTAATGTCCCAAAATACTTTTGTAAGCTAGTGTAATCAGACCACTTTGGACATGTTTTCTTTTTTCAGATGTCAATGAATGTTTAGAACTTGAAAGTGATCCTTGTAAAGGAAATTCATTTTGTGCAAACACGGAGGGCTCTTACACTTGCATTGGTAAGTTTGATGATTTTCAGTATTCCGTTAAGTTTACCCTTTTCTTTGGATTTAGCTAAAAGAATTTTAGGTCAATAAAATATAAAAAAATATGAAATATTTAATGTAATTGGACATGTGATTTTTGCCAAACCAGACAGTAGATTATCATCTATAATGATAACAGATTTAGATTTTAAAACTAATCGGGTCGATACGCTCCACATTTGTGATAAAAATTGCTTAAACTTCAGATGGTTATTCTGTTGTTTTTTTCACAAATTTTAGGCAGTGGTTTCTAAGACTTTGCCAACTTTCAGCACTTAAACTGTAACTTTAATCAAGCCTCTATATTTCCAGAGTGTGATAAAGCTTGTAATGGGTGCCATGGTGATGGTCCTGATTTCTGTTTAGAATGTGCAAAAGGCTTTATTAAAGAAAAAGGAGTTTGTGTAGGTAAGTTTCACATCATGTTAAATGTATATAGTTTCATATCATGTTAAATGTATATAGTTTCACATCATGCTAAATGTATATAGTTTCACATCATGTTAAATGTATATAGTTTCACATCATGCTAAATGTATATAGTTTCACATCATGCTAAATGTATATAGTTTCACATCATGCTAAATGTATATAGTTTCACATCATGCTAAATGTATATAGTTTCACATCATGCTAAATGTATATAGTTTCACTAAATGCCACCTGGTCATCAAAAAATACCTTTTGTGTGTATGTGTGTGTCGCCTTCAAGTAACCTTCCCGAACTCTTCCATCCACACGTCTTCGTTAATGAAGACTCGGAGACATTTATAAACAAGAGATTGAGAAACTAATACTCTCCAGAAAAACAACTTGTAAAAATAGTTTACTTTAGCATATCAACTAAGCTTAGTTTCTAAATATTAGCCCAGTTTAGTTTCTTGATAGCTTTAGTCTAGGGTTTGATATGTAGTATCAAACTTAAAACCACTAGTGGATTTATTAACCATTTATTTCCACTGTTAGTATACTAGCCACCTCTGACCGTGCATTAATAAAAATGAATAACTAGTAAAAGTTATCGTATCTAAAACATGCATTTCAAACATGTGAATAACTGTAGGATCTTTTAAAATAAAAATTTTAAATTTTTTTGGTGAATTTATGATTTATAGTACAATAGAAACCACTATATGGTGTACCTGTTTACTACACACTTACGCACATACCACATAACTGTTGACTTGAAAGTCAGTTCTCATACATGCTCTACAGATAATTACCCACAACTCATCTCTCCTTCATTACTCAGTTTTCTGGGAGGTCTGTGTTAATATTATAAAGTTTTTTTTGATCTCCTAATGCTATAGTACAAAAACTCTACAATCAATCCTTTTCTTCTGTATGTCAAAATAGTGAAACGTACAACACGTGATAGACTTAATTTAGATAATTCGTTTAACTATGGGTAATTTAAATACTGAAAAAGAACTTGTTAGTTATAAATACCTTCGTGCTCTTAACAATACAAAGTTGTCTTTCTTGTGTTTACATATTTATACAGTATGATAAATGTTTTTATTTTGATTCCTGCTGTAACACTGATGGAGCTTGTTTAATCCTGAAACTTTTATTAGTGTTTTACTTCAGATTTAACTAAAATTTCTTGCACGTGATTTGATTAAGAATTTGTCTGTATGTAACCATTAATATTTTGATTAATAGAAAAGACTAATAATAAATAAATGTAACAATTTTCTGGAGCTTTTGTCATTTCTGCAAATATCTTCAAACCATTGACCAACATGAGTTGTTTAAATTTGATTAAATGATCTAGCTGGTGCAGACACTAATAATTAGATAACAGTATTTTTAATTATAGTGAAACAATGTAAAGGCCTAATTTTGGTGATTAGAAACTACACCAGACTGCAGATGGTTTTTCACACATTTTAATTAGTTCGTTATGAATTTCAAATCAGACAAATGTAAAAAAAATAACATTTAAAATCTGTTACATGTGACTGTCCAGGAGGTGTTTGTCCAACACCAGAACTGGACATGATGGCAGACTAAAATGTACCTCAGTGTTATCTTGTATGTAGTGGTCAACAAAAAATATGAATTTTTAAATTATGCTGCTTGTACACAAGAAGTAGAATGATCCAATTCCTACTTTCTAAAATGTTTCTTTAATTGTTAAATATTTATGTAAATTTGTACAGTAACAAACTTACTGAAAAATACATTCAGTTTCAGAAGACCCAACTTGGTGAGTAGGATCATTGACTCTCGATTTGCGTGTCACAGGATAGATCCATGTTAATGAAAATACTTGGCCATAGGGGCATTATTATGTTGTGGTCAATTCCAATATTTATTGGTAAAGAGTTGCTCAAGTGGGGTTGACTAGCTGCCTTCCCTCTTGTCTATCACTACAAAATTAGTGATGGCTAGTGTAAGCTGCATTCCCTCTTGTCTATCACTACAAAATTAGGGATGGCTAGTGCAAGCTGCCTTCCCTCTTGTCTATCACTACAAAATTAGTGATGGCTAGTGTAAGCTGCATTCCCTCTTGTCTATCACTACAAAATTAGGGATGGCTAGTGCAAGTTCTTGCACTAGCCATCCCTAATTTTGTAGTGATAGACAAGAGGGAATGCACTGCCTTCCCTCTTGAGTAGCTTTATGCAAAATTCAACAAATTAACAGTTTTAGAGTTGCAAATCATTATTGAGTGTGTTGTTGTCTGGAACTTTGTCATGAAAGTCTGTTCTGTTTTTGGTAATGCATAGTCAGTGTCTGTTTTAATACAAGCTGTACACTATGCTAATACTGGTTATTCTTTTCATAAACTGTTTTTTTTGTTCTTTTTTTAGATTTTTCTATCTTTCATTAAAGAACGTTTTTAACTGTTAGCTCTGTATATATTTTTAATTAATGATTGGTTATCGGTTAATCTTTGACTTGAAGAGCAAAACGTTGAGAAAAGAAGACAAAGTGATAAAACCTCCTTTCTCTTTGATTTCAGAAAAAGCCGCTCAGGATCGATCTCTACACGCCGAACTTGCTAGGTATTCTACCTACCTGGGATTAAGCATTGCTACGTGTATCATCTTTCGACGTAACATTCTTGTAGCGAGTGTAATTGGAGTCCTTGTGGCCATATACATAGGCCTTTCTGAATACACTCTTGGTGAATGGAACCGTTCATCTGTGGGAAAATATTTTAACACTTGGTTGAGTAAATAACCCTTGGTCAACTTAAGTATCCAACTTGTTTTTGTGCTAAGAACAGCTCAACTTTAATAGCATCACTGAAACACCAGCACACCAGAAGCTACTGTAAACCCAGATATTAAATAGATAACTAACACTAACTTGTACTTATGCATGAATCACATTGTTTTTGACTTAATCATTGTTGCATATCACATTTATTCCTAATCAATATTAAACGTTTCTTTCCACCTTTATCATTCCTTTTCGTATGCTTTGCATACATTTATGAGAGCTACGTTTGTTTAGGGATCACGTTTATGCTTAGATTACGATGCTGTATCACTGCATAACTACTCTTTGAGATTAACTTCGGAGATTCTCATTCCATGTGCACTTATACTCAGTTATCTCATTTTGAGTTCTACAGTCTGATACTGAGAGCTGTGCTCTGTCTGTTCTTCTGGTAAATGAATTTAAAAAAAAAACCCAAAGTTTTCACTAGTTACTTTCTGTTGAAGTTCTCATTGCATGTATACATGCTGAATGTGTATCCATCACATATATCATGAAAGCATTCCATTTTCGG